AGTAATTATTAAGTAATTTTTGAGTTTTACCGATACCGCTTTATTTATACCGCTTTCGGTAATAAACTAGTAATTAGTTCTTGGGCTTGCTTTCGCAAATTCTTATAACTAACTTCCATAATAGTTTTTCCCTCATTTTGGATTTGTTTATAACTGGCTTTTTCCATCACATAAAAAGGAGAACAATTATAATCTGTTTTTTTTAAATACTCTTGAATTACTTGGGCTTCGGTTTGGTTAGAGAGACGCATTGGCACGAATAATAATTTTTTCTTATTTATTCCTGCTTTTACCAAGCCATTAAATTCTTTTACAGCTGGAACCAAATCTGCTCGGCTGGCTCCGGTTGGCTGAATTACTAAATCCGCTTTTTGGGCTATTTCCAAAGTTCCCGTGCTAGTTCGTGCCGGGCCATCAATAATTATTAAATCATAATTCTTACTTAACGGCCAAATATCTTTTACTTGCTTAAATACTTGGCAATTAACTTTCCCAATAATTTTACTTCATTCTTGGCTAGTTGCCTGCTGGCTATCGCAGTCTGCTAGTAAAACATTTAATTTCTTTTTTTTGCCCTCCACAGCTAGGGCTTGGCTTAAAGTTGATTTTCCTACTCCTCCTTTTTGACTGATAAAGGCGATTATTGTCATAAATTAAAAATATCCTTCCTCCTCCAAGTAATCTCAAATATTAAATAACTCCATAAATTTAGCGTAAATTTCTTTCATTTCTTTCTTGGTTAACTTACCTTCATATTTCAGCAAGCGAGATTTATTAACAGTGCGAACTTGGTCCAATAAGGCTTTACCTTTGATATCGTTAACTAGGGTCAGAGCCTCATAATTGTAAATTTTCTCAATTTTCTTGCTAGTAAGAGGAATAACTACAAATCTTTTTTTCCATCTATTTAAAAAATCGGTGCTAAAAATAACTCCTAAACGAGTTTTCATGAGTTCTGTGCCTTCGGTTTCTCGTCGGCTAACTCGGTAGGTGTAAACTTCGCCTTTTCTTACTACCGAAATTTTTTCTTTAACTATTATTCGTTCGCTCATTCTTCTTCGTCGTCCATTTCTTCTAATAATCTTTTTTCGGCTTCTAATTCTTTATCTTTCAAAGCTTCGCCATAGTCAGAAAAAATATCAACTTTGGCTGGTCGGGCTTTCTTGAACTTCCTAATTGGTTCTTGATAGATTTGCCCTTCGGGAATACGGTGTATTTCATAATTAATATGTTCTTGTTCCAAAAAGATTTTTATTCTAGGAATATTTTCCTTAACTATTATTATTTCTTTCATAATATTATATTTTAACATTTTTATCTACCGCTTTATATCTACCGCTACCTGTAATTATTTATTTTCCCTCTTTTATAATTTTGGGAAGTCGTTTTATAACTTTCCAGGGCTTTTTCCAGGACTTCAATCATTAGGCAATTTTCCTCAATGGCTAACTTTTTTAATTCTTGATGGAATTCCGGTTTAGCTTTTAAGGATAAAGGCTTGGTTCTACCGGTAATTCTTTTATCACTAGGGGCTAATTCTGGGGCATAGAGATTTTGACTGGCTTCGGTGGGGACTTCTCCCAAAAACTCTAAACTTTTTAGTTTCTTGCTTTTCATATATATTTATTTTATAGATACCGCTTTATTTATACCGCTTTCTGTAAAAAGGGTTTATGGAAAGTTAACTTGCTTTCTCCATCGCCCAAGCAGTTTTTTATAACTACTTCCCCGATACCCCAATTAATCCTAGGGCTTAATTTTCCCTTTTGCTGGCTTTTCAGCCTTTACAAATTCACGCAAATTTTCTTATTTTTGTGTGTTCTAATGGCATTTATATCTTTTTCTTTTCTTGCTTCGGTTTTTTTAGATACTAATACTTACTTCACCAAATTTCAGCACTTTTTTAAGTAAGTTTAAGAAAGTTTGGAGTAAACTCCTTACTTTTCTACAATAATTTTTAATCTATTTTTTGCTCTTTTTTAAACAATTTATCGGCTTTTTAGGGTTTTTTTCTGTTTTTCGGGAGGGATTGCTCTGTCGCTATTATTTATTAGAAAGGTTTTTATTTTTAATAACTCATTTTGACTTAAACCCTGCTTTTTGTAAACAAAATGAAAAAAAAGGTTTTTTTCAATTCCCCAGGGACAATTTGAGGAATAGCACTCTACGAGGTTGTTCATTTCATTATGAAAAATAATTTCATAAATAATAACGGAGCAACCCTCCTTCATACGAAAAACAAAAAAACCTTGGTTGAAATACAAAGTATTGTTGGAGACCAAAGCCGAATTGATGAGTTAAAACTTCAAGAGCAAGCGATTATTACCGAATTAGAAAGTTGAGAAATTAAAGATAAAAAAGTTTATAACTTGCTGAAAAGTTTGGCACTGATTTCCTAACCGAAGCCGTAAAAACTGAAAAAGACCGCGAGGACTGCGATGATTACCGGTTGGAACACTTAATCAAAAATAAAACGGAATTTGCTATCCAATTTGCCCTAGGCAGAGAAGCCTTTTATCAACTATTTTGAAATAAAATAGTGTTCCAAATCAATCAGTTAAAAAAACAACTTGGCACTATTCAAAGCCAACTTTCTCATCAAGAGCGAATATTTACGAGAATAGAAATTCGCCGGCAAGGTCGGATTCTCCTGGAATGTAAATCAGGATACCGCCTGGGTTGTTCTGGTGTTTATCAGTGCGATAATTGTCAGACTAATTATTCAGCAAATAACCAACAATTCCCAGAAGTAGCCAGCCCGTAAGGGTTGATTTTATATTTTTTTTGAATACCAGTAAAGACAAAAGAATTAAATCTCTACTCTTTTCTCCATCGGTCGAATTTGTTTTTTGATTTCTTTTTCCGCTAATTCTTGGTAGGTCTCCAAGTCATAATTTTTTTGAAAATTAAGCCAATATTCGGCACTAACTCCAAAATAAAAACAAAGACGATAGGCTAAATCTACTGTCATCCTCTTTTTTTCAGCCACTAAATCCTTAATAACTGACTTTTTTACTTGAATTTTTTTGGCTAATTCTACCTCACTCACTTTCAAAGGTTCTAGGAACTCACTTTTTAATATTTTCCCAGGATGAAGGGGCTTTAATTCTAGGTCTTTTACCATAATAATAAATTACTTGACTATTATAATAGATTTTACTTGCCATATCTTTTGTCATGTGGGTTAATTTCTATTTCCTCGGCATGATTAGCACCTTTTTTATCTCATTTAAATACTACGCGATATTGGTCGTTAATCTTGATGCTGTAATAATCCTTTTTGCCTTTTATTTTTTCAGTATTATTACCGGGAATTAGGTATAAATCATTGAGATTAGAAGCATTAATTAAAGAATGAAGTTTTTATAACCTACTTGCTTTATCTTTTGATATTTAGAAACTCATTCGCCTTTTCAGAGGGAGTAAGCACCTTTATCTTTAAATCGGTTATTTACAATTTCACCTATTTTAGAATTAGTTTTTAAGTTTTTATTTGCCATTTGCTATTTTTATAAAAACGATTTTTAAAGGAACTTGCTCGGCATTCTTTTTTTAACAATTCTCATAAGAGTTCTAATAACAATTGTTAATTTATATGACAAAGAACTAAATAATCAGTAAATTTAATGAGTAAGAGAAAAATATTCCCGACCCCTTTCTAGGTTTTTTTAAGAATTGGTTCGGACTAAAATTATAAACATAGATAATTAATGTTCTATATGTAGCGTTAAATTGTCTATGGTCAAAACACAGAAGGGAGGTATCTAAACAAGTTGACCAAGAAATATTTTTCTAAAATAGGTAGTTACTGAAAAACATTTGGCTTGCTTGTAATTATTTATTTTGGGAAATTGCTTAACTAATTTCCCTAATGGGTTACATTAAATAAGGTAAAAATTCAAGTTAGGAACATCACTTCCTAATCTTGCATCATTAACAAATTATACCTGAAAAGTTAAATGATGGGGCAAATGAAAAAGGTGTCCTGGTGTCCTGTACATAATTACTTTACACCAAAACAGAGATAAAAGTAATCATAAAGAATTAAATTTGCGTGAAAATTGCGATTAAACAAAGACAAATAATTTTGACATTATTGGATATTAGCAAATTTCCCTTCATTATGTTGTTCATGAAACAGTAAAAAGTTATATGCCTATTAGAATTATTTTTGCTAAAATATCAATATGTCTCAGCAATTACCAACTCCCCAATTGCTTAATCAGGTAAAAGATTTTATTAAGAACCAAGGG